GGCAGTGGGGTAGCCTAGTGGTTAAAGCGTTCACTTGTCATGCCAAAAACCTGGGTTCAATTCCCCACATGGGTACAATGTGTGAAGCCCATTTTTGGTGTCCCCTGTCGTGATATTGCTGGAATATTGCTACAAGCAGAATAAAACTATACTCACTCACTGATATAATACAACAGTACAAGGCTGGCATTCAGTGTATACACCATGCAGACATCCCATGACACGTGTACAATGGCCTGGGTGGTGAGACTCGTGTGTGAGACAGTGTGTCGTCATACCCTAACAGTTTAAAAGATACTCATAATATCAATCACTGGTCCAGACTGGTTATTTACATGCTGCCTTCTTATGTGCGACTTCCAAACAACAAGTAAGCCCTTCATATGGGACCTACAACAAGGCCTGATCATGAAGCAAGCATACATATAATTACAGTATTACCAGGACATTTGAGACAAGTTACGTGTATTTGCCAGTGGCATACATAAGGTTAACGCATCCTAATTAGCTTACTCCTCAGTGTTCAGAGGTATGCCTGCCCATTTGGTAGTGCCATGGCTAGGGGCTGGAAGAAATGAAGCAAACATGATTCTATCTGCCGATTCTGCACATGAATAATTCATCTGTCCATCCCGCTGGCATCCTAACTCACGTTCGATTCAGCAAATGTTGCTTTGATCGCTCTCAATACTCCAGATTCACCAAGATTTCGGATGTAATTTTTCAGGGTTTTTTTAAAGTTGATGTTTTGGGTGTATGAGAGTGTTTGATCCTGGATTCTGTCGCAGAGTCAGCCTCTGGTGATAAGGTCATTGATGTCCACCATGTAAACAGAAAATAGCCAATCTGAAAGCGGGAAACAGGATTTCTGAACTTGAGGGAGGAAATGACCGAAAGACGAATCTACTTAGTTTTTACATGGAAATCAGGCTGGAGACGGAAAGCTCTGTATTATTACTTTAAAGCAATGTCCTGCCTGTAGCCTTTGAGCTAAGCAAGTGTGTGAATCTGACTACAAGAGAACAGAGCCTTTGAGATATAAAAGCACTGAGTTAGGTGAACTTGATTTTTATTAATGTGTTCATGAGCATTTTCCACTTGTCTAAGGTGCCGTGGTTCACTTAGACTAATAACTAGTGTCTGAAATGAACATATTTTACAGAAAAAAGGCTCATAGTGAAAATAAATCAAAATATAATAAAAAGGAGCCCTGAGACTTTCTTCATTTTCAGAAGCTGTGGAAATCTAGACTTGCCACATTTTGGAAATAATGTTTGAATTAATGGGCTATCCCACCACCCCTGATAATGGGTTTGAATCCTGCTCACCTTGATCATGTTTCTTGGTTTGTCAGTACCACAGTCATGCTTGTTGGTTTTACCAGGGAGACTATATAAGTTGTAGAGTATCCCTGGTTTTACCAAAGTTGTAAGTGTCTGTGTCTTTCATAACCTCTGGCTCCCAGAAAGTGATATAACCTCCCCAGATTCAATGTGTTCAAAGCTGGTGGTAAACCAATCTCCCTGACTCACTCACTCACTCACTCATAAGCTGTTCCTTTCACCAGGATCAATGTGTTAAAATCTGGTGGTAAACCAATCTATCTCACTCACTCGATCACTCACTCACTCACTCATCAGCTATTCCTTTCTCCAGGTTCAATGTTTTCAAAGCTGTGGTAAACCAATCTCACTCACTCATAAGCTGTTTCTTTCTCCAGGTTCAATGTGTTCAAAGCTGGTGGTAAACCAATCTCACTCACTCATCAGCTATTCCTTTCTCCAGGATCAATGTGTTCAAATCTGTTGGTAAACAATTCTATCTCACTCACTCATAAGCTATTCCTTTCTCTAGGTTCAATGTGTTCAAGCTGGTGGTAAACCAAATCCACACGCTCACTCACTCACTCACTCACTCATGAGCTGTGCCTTTTTCTCCGGGTTCAGTGTGTTCAAAGCTGGTGGTAAACCAATCTCACTCACTCACTCATTCATAAGCTGTTTCTTTCTCCAGGTTCAAAGCTGATGGTAAAGCAATCTCACTCACTCATAAACTGTTATTTCTCCAGGTTCAATGTGTTCAAAGCTGGTATTAAACCCAATTCACTCACTCATTCATAAGCTGTTCCTCTCTCTAGGCTCATCGTGATGTAGGTGCTAGAAACTATCTCAACACTTTCTGTATGAAGACATAAACTATATTTTCAAGTGGCATCTTGCTTGATAAAGATACTACATAGTCTCCTGAAACGTGACTTTGAGAGGTAAGGAAGCTGAAATCCATAAGTGAACTCTGTCTTCACCACAGCAAGTGTATGCTACCTTCTCACAAGGTGTTTGATTAAAGTCGACAGGCTTTTGCATCACCCATTCCTGGGAGAATATTCTGTTTAGACCAATAATTTCTCACTCATTTTCAAAACAACTACAACTGACAACCTTATCTCTGACTAGGTACAGCCCACGCAGATTAATTATTGAGCACGGACCTGTGTTAATCCCTATTGTCACACCATCAGGATTGTCTCTTTGGATTTAACCGACAGTGGCAACTAACCAGAGAACCCCGAAACACTGGTACTCTTATGCTGATATGGTATGACGTTATTTCTGGTAAAGCCAAATCTATTACCTGCCTCACTTTCAGGAGGTCCCAGATGAAAGTGATGACAACAGATAGCTCTGTGGACCCTACCTGATGTAGAGACGCCTAATTCCTGCCTTAGCCGCGCGTCAGTGTATCTCTTTGTAGAGAGCAAATATACGGGAACCTGCAACTGCAGATACAGATCCAGCCTACCAAATCCCACCACCTATACTCAGCTTCATAGATTGCTGTGGAGTACTCCCGGCCAGGAGATTAATTATTGCGTCAGTTGAGCGGCAATAGCGTGAAGATACCGTAATCACGGGATCTGAGTGAGCGGATGCCATGAGCCAGGGAGGCTAGGTGAGCGTGGAAGTGTCATTGACAGACAGGCCTGGATCAAAGTGGCTGTTACAGACTGGATGTGCTGGAGGCCCAGGACACACTCTGGTACAGCACAGCCTCAACAGGGCAGCCTTCCGCAACACTGGTTGGACTCAAGGGCCACAGCAATTGCTCTGCTTTGCCCATGGGGTCTTGGTCTTTTTCTGTTAGGATCTAAGCGAAACTGTCTTGCCTGTGGTGTGAGTTTTTTTGTACCTTGCCCCTTGCAACCTGTGTCTTTTCACATAGGATATGACATAGACTGGTGTCCCTTCCAACTGGGACCAATGAAGCCTCTTTTTTCCTGTTTCAGTATATCTAAATATTAAGTTAGGCTCAAAGCAAGGTTGGCAACCCTTGCCTATAGGATGTTAATTGTTTTAAAAAGGGAACTTAATTGTTTAACTTTAGGTTCTAAGCAGGATCACTTTATAATTTTAATAAGTATCTAAGCTCAATTAGTGTCTCTTGCTCTGTATCATATTAGTGTCCCTGGGCTTTGTGACCCGTGAAGATCCTGGTTAGATTTGGTCTTCAGTAACCCATGCTTGTCGTAAGAGGCGACTAACCGGATTGGGTGGTCAGGCTCGATGAATGGGTTGACACGTCATCATATCCCAATTGCCTATATTGATACTCATGCTGTTGATCAATGGATTGTCTGGAGACTCAATTATTGACAGACCGCCGCCATATAGCTGGAATATAGCCGAGTGCGGTGTTAATTAACAAACCAACTAACCAACCCTTGGCTTGGCGATCTTTATATTTTACATAGGATCTAAATAAGATTTGTGCCTCTTGCCTACAGGCAGTGTCCCTTGCCATCAGTATATTTGTGATTTAAATTAAGATCTATTCTGTGTTAGGGTTACAATTTGCACTCATATTAATTTTTGCTATTTTGTGGCTGATAACCATAGATAATCTATGTTTGGGATTCCAACACTATTTATGACTTTTGGCTATGGTAGCTGTGCCAACTTACACTTGTCGTAATGGTAAACAAAATATGTGGTCTGGACAGTGGAATCTTGATGGCTGAGTGGGTTAGACTGCAGACTGCAGAGGGTTCAAATCCTGGTTGAGACTCAACCCATAAAATAATGAAAATTGTACTTCACCATGGAAGAGTAATCCCAAATAAAGTATTTACGTTACATATCGGCATTGTCATGAGCTGAATGACATATCAGCATTGTTTGTAATGAGATCTAACTCATGCTTCCAACACTGATTTGGTAAACCAAACTGCATTTATAAGCGATGTATCTACTGTTGTAAATATTTTGCAACTTCTACATCCTTGTTTTTGTATGTAATTATTGTAGTAATAGTAGTTTCCAGGAATACACAACCAGGGCTCAACCATCAAGGATGAGGGTATTGCATAGTTCATATATTCCAGTAATATCCCACACTCTGGTGCAGTGAGGACTTAGCATAACATCACTGCCACAGGCTAATTTGCATATCACGTGACCGGACTTTTCTCTTATTTGTAAACAAACGCTCATATTCATAAGAAGAGACTGGCTTACGCAAGCTTTTCGGTGTGCTCTTCACAATATTTTACATTGTTACATATATATTCTTCCACATCTACGACAGTAAGGTTTATGACTACATATTTAGATATCAAACTGGCTACACAAATCGAAAGTGTTACATGTTTTAGGATATTTTCTCAGTGAAACTAAGCCATTCTATCAAAGCTGTTTCATTAGATGTGTAGACTTCGTCAAACATAAAATAGTTAAGAAATACATACATTATATTGAATGGACTGTGTAAGATGTGACGAATCGTCACATCTTTCTTGCCTGTGGCAGAGGTACTATGCTGGCTGGCCGCATGGAACTCTGGGTTGGAGAGTGGTAATATCCAACAATCAGCTTCACCCATCACACTAAGCTACAGAATTAAATCCAACAAGCACATGCATTTACTCCATGTCTTCAGCACGCATACACTCTCCTCCTTACACGAGGATCACTTGTAAACACAGATAACAAAAAGAATATTGTATTATCATGTTTTGTTTTATTTAGTTTGTTAGTGTCATTCCATTGCATTTGCCTATGCACCAGACACTGGACAAATATACATATATACACACACTGGCAGTGCAGCTATATCACATTACAGAATACACTTTATACATCAACGCCAAGCTCAAGTACAAGTACAACCTCATTCACTGTTAAAGCTTCTTTAAAACTAAAAACACCAACGCTAGTCTCCTTAGGGTCTATTTCTGTAAAATGATACAGTTTATCTGAAAAAGCTGAATAAAGTCTAAAATCAAGTTAAAAGCGTCATGAAAATTAGAATTTTCTGTGTCTCTTTTTCTAGCTATTCTTTTTTTCTCATTAGTCGTCTCTCCATCATAATGTTATGGAATGGTTTGTCATAAATACTGTTGAGCACCATCTACACTAGTGCAGCTCACGTCAGCCTCTTTCCTCAACACTCACAATCATACCACTTTAAAATTAAAATTTTCAACTTTATACCACACAATGTATTCTTTAAAAAAATTATCTGCATTTCAAAGTCAATAATATTCTCAATCTTCAGTAACATTCAATAACTGAAATCAATTTTACCAACGTAAGGCTCCCTCCCCAAGAAATATCTAAATTCTCCCAACATGCATCCATATTCTCCTTAAGTACAAGACCCTCCCCCTCTCCACCCCCCAGTCTGAGACACGTTGAGCTGCTCCAGCTGCTCTGACCTCACTGTCAACACTGCAATCTGCATTCAATACCATTATTAACAGACATGAAGCGGTAAAAAAATAATATTTGTTAGCATTTATACATGACAACATGGCATAATGATGTTCTGTACACTATTTACAATGAAATAAAATGACACAATATTTCTTGGAAGAAAAGATGGAAGATTAAGTGTGACATCTATACAACTGATTTTTAAAATCTTTGGCAATCCATCACAGTTGTTGTAATATCATACAGAAGCATAAGCTCCCTTTAACTTAGCCCATAACAGCAGGCCTCAATCCTTGTATGTACACAAGGATGAGGTATGATGTTTCGGGCTGTACATACATTTGTACACAACACAACCACAGCATTGCCCTATAAATATTCCGATTAAAACATGAAAATGGCGCCAACTTATTATGTAATTTTGATTATTCAACCAAACTTCTGAGCTCATCCCTTTTATTATGTCTTGTCAAGCATGTTTTTCATGGTTGAGAGATCTTGTATTACACATACTTTGGTATGCTTCATGGAAATTTTTTCAACGTTTTAGATAATAAAATTCTATAACACCTCTTTCTTAATAAAAATATGAATATTCATCGAGTCCAAATGAATAAAATAATTTAAAAAACCCATTCTAATCCAGATCACAAGAAATGATATCAGTATGGCTTGTTGTATAAAATGTGTATAATGCATTGACCCAGATATGAATATAACAGTATAATGGTTCCATTCTTTCTCTCACACTCGCGTCACTTGGGACTGACTACAATTTGCATTTGGAAAAAGAGGCAATCCTCTTTGAAAGCCTGTGTGTAAGTGCTCAGAGGCCTGTTTGGTAAACTGTGACTCGCTTTGGGAGCTACCCAAAGAGTCAATATGGCCGTCAATATGGGAGCGTTGTTACAGTGACGCAATGTTTACCAGTCAGACGCTCCAAGACCATGTGAGAAAACGAATGAAATATATACCTATACCTTGTGACCAAAATATTTGTTTAGTTTTAAAGATATTATCTAAAATAAATAAAACATATTTTTTTAAATTATTTTTTTAAATAACATTTTCCTTATTGAAAAAATGTTTTATATTAAAATTTGACAATGGTCCCAAGGGGTGTAGGAAAATATAAACTCCTAGAATATTACAAATAAAAAAAGATGACATCTGTGGCAGAATAGTGCCTCTAAGGCAAACAACTACATGTATCACTGGCCTTGCTAAACTCATGATGTATTCCTTTAATGTACAGTCAATACTTGTAGGTTGTAGGAACACTTACACTGAATATATAAACATTGGTCTCATCAACAGGATTCAAACAGTCTTTATCAATCAACAATGCAAAAACTTTATTCATAAAAAGTCGGAACAAATGATTTATGTGATTAAATGTCATTTCGAAAAATGTGGATGAAAACATATTTGAAGCTTGTTGTTGAACCAATTGTTATAAACATGTGATTGTATATTTTTATATATACATAGATAATTTGAGTACTGTACAGAACAGGTGACAGCCATTGAGATTTAAGTGATATGCTCCAAGTATTTTGATGTCATATGATTATTCAAGATGGATAACTGCTAAATGCACCTCAGTGTTGAAGAGTTCACTTTGAAATGGTGTGAGGAGCACGTGCTGGAATCAGGGGTAAGTTAATGCCATGATACCAATAAGACGCAGGGACCACTATGAACTACAAGCACTGAAATACTCAAACAAACAATTCAGCTTTGTATTCTTAAAGTTAACAACTAAAGCTATATCCCTGCCTCTAGATGAAAATTTGGTAAATTGTGACCTTTCTTGCCATGGTAACCACTGGTTACCTTGACGACATCAGCACCGTATGACAATTTTGAGCACATAATTGAGTATCGTCCACAAATACTTTCGCTTTGTATCAATTTAGATGCTTTAATTTGAATGTTTTTGAGATCACTATCTCCCTCCGTGCAGGCCGACATCCCATAGGACATTCGATGTTTGTCTCACACAGAGAAGTTCTGTTTCTGATATACAGCGAAGCACAGGTCCGACAACACAGTATCTACATAGCATGTTGGCCGTGACTTCTTTCTGATATACATATATATTTCAGAATATTGGTCCATTTTCCCATTATGTATTGCACAGTGCTTGGAATGTATGCAAACAGTTTGATTGCAGACACAAGTCGCCATCTTGTCTCTTGATTTCACCAGACACTAGTCACAACTTCAGCACAACAGGTGTTCCTGGAAGATAGCATGATTGCATAGCCAAAATACACAGTTACTAGACCAGCAATGAACTAGGCATAATGTTGGCTATTAGGAATACACCTGACGGAAAATAAAAGTTTGTCACATGACACAGGACCTGCCCATGAGGTTGCCATGGGGCTGTTAGCACTATTTCTTGATGGCATGTAGCCCTGCTACGGCATCAGTTGAGGTCGCCACCTCGCCTCATCAGCGGGCGCCTCAATCCTGCTGGTTGGTCAAAGTTTTCACTCAGAACCATGTGCTTTTCTAACTGACCAAGGCCAGCCCAAGCCCAGCACCACAGAAAACATTAGTCTATGTTGTTTCCCGCTTGCTATAAGTAGACCTTGTTTGATTTAGTCACTGGTTTGGTTTCCACACTTGTATTTAATTTCCCGGGGGTTTTAACGTTCACAACGTAACTAAAACTTTTGTTGTATGGATTTTCTGGGGTGAAATATGTATGGTCCCCTGAAGACAGTCTGTTGGACCTCTTGCTCAGAGAGATGTTGCGCTCGTGATATGGAGTGTCTATGTCACGTGATGCTCTGCACGAGCTGACTTTATAACCGATGAGGAATCCGACGAGCATTGAAAGGACGATGGAGACGACGATTGCGATAGCAAGGGTTTCCGCTGTATTTACTCCCGATGGATCCTGGTGAGTTGCATCAATAGGACCTTCTGGAAAAAGAAGAGAAGAACCTTGTTGTCATATGTTACAGGTTTGAGCCTACATAGAGTCTCCAACTGCAGAAAGAAAACACGGTTATTGAAGTCCATATCCAAGGCATCAGACAACCATGTACACTACTGCTCAAAACAAACTTCCCCTGATCTTGTTCACAACTGCTACTGTCCTGATCACGAGGACACGATGACATTTGTCTGTACAGTACTAACCAAATTGTTCCTGATATTGAACACCATGTTCTACTATTGTGATCAATGTGGTGTTTGTACAGTATTAGCCAAAACAAAGTTCCAATTGATAGCACTTAATTCAAGGTTTGTTGCAATAGGAGTGTACTCCTAATGCAGTAGTTTGTTTTGATTCTGTCAGTATAACACATACAGATGTGACATGTATATAGACAAAACTTTGTCATGTGTGATGGAATAAACATTCCCCAGTTGTGGTGACATGTCTTGTATGATAAATCATCTGCTACACAAACACGGAGGTCTAAACTAACACGGATGCAAGTACCACATGCAATGACTATCAACCATTCACTACAGACTAAACCTAGAACATTCAAGTTAGTTGTACATGGCATGGTTAAGACAGACTGCATTGTCAGGTAGTCTTTTCACAATGGCAAATGTTAGTCAGCTATCAAATTACAAACTGAAGACCAAACTAAACAAAAAAAACATAAATATAATGTTATTAGCAGAACCATTGAGAGAGCCATGAAGAAAGATGTAGAGATAGATAGACATTGCTTCCCATCTTGTATTCTGGGAAGGAGACAGCAGAGTTCAAAGCAAGGAGAATAGAACCCATATCTTATGTGAGATGAGAGATCACGCTAACTTCTGGGCTACAATATAGATGCTTGAGAAGAGTGAAACTGTGTTGACTTTTTTGAGATGCAGCAGACCTTTTACAAACAGCACTGACAAACCTAAAATCATTATCAAATCAAATCTTGAATTTGAACCAATTATAGGATTCCAGCATACCAACGAGCCACAACTGTGCACTGTAACATTGTGGCACCAGTGGCTGCTGCAGAATCCATGCCCCTATGAGAAAGACTGACTGACTGACTGAGTTTAGTTTTACGCCGCTTTTAGCAATATTCCAGCAATATCACGGCGGGGGACACCAGAAATGGGCTTCACAAATTGTGCCCATGTTGGGAATCGAACCCGGGTCTTCGGCGTGACGAGCCAACGCTTTAACCACTAGGCTACCCCACCGCCCCCTATGAGAAGGAACTTACAACATTCAACTAAAGACAGACATGTATACATGACACTTTATACGGATAATGATTTCGTATATTTTATAACAACATTTAAGAGCTATTTCTTGCCCTTGTCCTGGTGAAGGGGCAGTATCAGTTTGGACACAATGTTAACATAATAAAAGAAGCTGTTATCAAGTGTCACATATACATGTTCTTCCAACTTCTAAATGTCTATCAGAGATTATAAAGAAAGACATGTAGGACACAAACAGTTGCAAGACACAATCTCCACAGCAACGCCCATAAATATGGACACACAAACATTTACAAGCACAGTGAGGGAAGCAGGCTATGCAGGGTTAACTAGCTACTCTGAGGAAAGATACCTTGAACCAAGCAGTGAGAGACTAGGTAAGCAAGCAGTAAGAGACTAGGGTAAGCAAGCAGTTAGAAGCACAGTAAGCAAGCGGAACTACATGAGGATTGCCTCGCCATCGTGAAGAGCTATCAGACTGATGCAGTGTGCCTTACCGTCATATTTATCTTCAGGGTGAGTTGTCTTGGGAGCAGGTTGTTTTGTGGAAGCCATATTGGGTCCTGATGAGACAAACACAGGGCGAATGAGATGACATGTTATCCTGGGATAGTTCTCACGTCTTGTTATGATGATATTTAGGATGGAATGTCACAGGACAATTAACAGAAGACAAGCAACATTAAAGAAAATTTAAAAAGCAACTGAGGCATGAAAACAGCAAACATGAAAAGAAAGTTGTTGTGATCTTATACAAGTGGTTTCTCTAGAGTGTTACCGTGGTGGACTTTAAAGGGGAAGGCATGCGTGTGTTAGTGTAATAGATTGCAGCACACTTCACTCCGATCATTAAATTACATTCCGTTAAAATTACACTTTCTAAATTTCTATTTCAACACATGCTTTTAAATTCTATAATATGGACAAATCTCAAATCACTTGATTACACTGTATGTTCATGCCACATTTCTTCTGCAACTTAAAGTGACTCGTGATATTTATTTCTTGTTTTAATTTTTATAAGCAAATGTAGATATGTTGTTGATGCCTTGGACATAAACTGACCAATATTAGTGACGTCTTTGTCCTCACTATGTTTATTGGGATCCGTGACCTGGGGACAAACACACTTTTGTGGCTCTGTGGCCGCTGCTGGTGTTGTCGTAGTGCTGGTGGTTTCTTATAAAATAAGACAAATCAAAAACGTAAAGCAAAGCAGAAAAAGATATAGGTAAAGAAATGCTTCAACATATTCATAAATACGTCTTACCGACTGGAACTCAATAAAATAATAGAACTTCACATTGAACTATAACTCCACATCAAACCAAATACTACATAATATTTACAACACCACAGCAATATATACAGTGGACTGTACAATATAGATCACAACTTACCGTCAAGGATCTCCACTCCACAGCCAGAGGACTTGCCAGTTGTAACACTCTGAAGTCTGAAGAAGCAAGTTTTGTCATTAACATCAATCATACAACACAACATTAAGCAAAACAAAACAAAAATCGTGTCTAAAACATGTAAAATTTGGACCATATGGACAGGCCAAAACATAGTTAACACAAACAGAGATTGTCATATAAATATGTAATATAAAACCTTGAAAGTGACTGCCCTCCACCCACCAGGTAAATATTTCTATTTAATAACTACCGGGGTATTAGTGAATGAGTATGGTTTTACACCACCTTTAGCAATATTCCAGCAATATCACGGAGGGGGACACCAGAAATGGTCTTCATAATTAATATTAAGAATAAAGAATTTTAAATATATAACTTCTTATGATGCATGGCCCAATAGACATCTGAGCTATTACTTTTAAACTTCAACATACACCTCTAGCTTTCAGTCTTAAGATTGTTTTGACAATATTGATAACAGTTGTTATGAGTGAATACTGCTGTTGATTCCTCACCCTCTGTTGGTGTTGGAGCATCTGGCATCAACCCAGGAACAGTATGGGTCCTGCAGGCCGACACACGAGTGACACGTGTTTTTGCGGTTACAGCGATGGAGAGGGATGCTGACCACATTTTCCTTGGAGACAACCACCAACTTCTCAGTACCATCTCGGCGGTATACTCTCAGGTTGACGATCGATTCATTCTTCTTCAAGACCTGGATCTCCTCGATAACAACCGTGCGGATCTTGTCTTTCGGGCCCTTTTGGGTATTCACAGCCTTAATGACCCTTCCATCGTCTGCAATGTCAAAATCAAATAAACTTTCAAAACCATTTTTTTTAAATCAGTAAAAACTATTAAGGTTATCATCGGTGATAAATTATTTTTAAACAAATGTTGATATGAATATTTTAAGGAGAAACTACTGATGCGTTTACCTGTTCCGATAAACATGATATCGTGGTATTTATCGACTCCACGGATTTGCCAGTCAATTGCGATCTGAGTGAAGCGGGACCTGAAAGTAAACATAAAGATAAGAACCATGCCACAGCAAAAAAGATTATTTTTTTACCAATCATAAACATATGGATAAACATAAAGAATAAAGGTTAAGTCTAATTTTGTCTCCATTCACACATTATTTCCCAGACCACCCACTCTTTAACCCATCATCTTCAAGAAACCACCAAAATATTGCATCCCATAAACAAAGATGGCTGCCCCAGGGGACATGTCAGTCGGAAATTCATCCCAAGATTCACGGATAAGTAAAGAAAACTGGGAGCTATCGGGTGCCATGCACAGCCAGCCATTGTTTTCAAACAAAATACCCATGGTCTATTGGTAATCGTTGAAGCAGGAGGGGCCAAGTCGGTCTGGCGACACAACCAGGGGCTATTTAGCCGCAACCCACTAAAGGCAGGGACAATCATGTTGTGACAGTGCTAAATTTCAAATTGTAACAAACTGCTCCGTATCAAAGAATTGGCTGGAAAGATGATCCATTGATAACTAGCTGGATTTTCAACTTACACTGCAGGACAAAACTACTGGAATTGTGTCTATGCCTTTCTTGTCCGCTTCAAAGACTGACTCGGTGGTGATGATAAACAGTGGAGAAGGGGACTTACGTGAAACTTGTCTGGATGAAGAGTGGGGCGCCACCTAGGGCAGGAACCGAACTGTCCATCAATGGGTGGGTCTTGATGAAGTTAAGGGTCGTATCCTCAAGCCTCTGACTACTGTTGGTGCACTGAAAATAGATTTCAGGTAAAATCAGGCTAGACTTGCTAAGAAAAAAATCAGTTCAGTATATAGTCAAAATAATTAACTTGAGTTAGGTTTTCTTGACAACCAGTTATCCTAAAAATCAGTATCCCAAGTAAAATGACAGGATTTTCATGTTACAAGAAACATTTTAGCTTAATACACTGAATTGAAGTTATCTGAATTAATTTAGGATTGACAGCTGATGGAACCAGGTTAAGGATCTCACCTTCTGAGGATGAGGGGCAGGTGTCTTTTCTCTGGGCACTGCCAGCCAGTTGTGCCACGCGGATTCCTGACCCTTGAACCGACCTTCAAACGTCTTGACAATGTCTGCGTATCTAAATGCACAGACGGCAGATCCACGGATGGAGTTGCTGCAAGACAGAAGAAGATAGTTATTGTATGGTCTCATGAACTCTGCATTATCACGGATAATAAAATGAATGATGATGATGAATGTGATAATATATATGATGGATTATTTGAATTACTACTTTTTGATCTCTTTATCTTATCGGTAAGAACTGATGATGGTGATGGTGATGATGATGATGATGATGATGATGATGGTATTTTGACCTAGCCAAGGGACTTACTGTGGTGTGTTGAAAACTGCATAAACCATGTCAAATCTGCTCCCTGAAGAAATCACTGGTCTGAAGTTACCCTCACCAAAATCTGATGTTGATTCTGAAAGAAGAATTAGTAAACATTAAGCATTGTACAAGCTGTCTTAACTATACAAATATACATTGTATCATATGTTAAAGAAAGCACAGTTTGAGTGTTAAAATTTAAAAACCAAAACAACTGTTAATTAGAAACTTACGTATTTCATCAAAATAGAATGGGAAATCCCCTGGGATGGAGCAGTTGAGTCGAGCCTTGAAGAAGGATGTCCATGTATTGTCCAGCAACATCTGGCCTCCCTCGTCACTCTTACAGATTCGAGCAACTCGAGAAAACACAGCCTGGAGGAAGCAACAGAGCTCAGTCATAACATTGAAATATCATGTATTATTTAAAAAAATTCAATTATGCGTTAAATTGTTGTAATAATGATAGAGGTTCACACATATACCTCAATATGTTTCAAATCCTGTTTCAACTGAATTTGTGTCTGTTCTTCTGATCTTAAATTAAATATCTTTAATCAAATGTCAATATTTTTTTCATCCTCTTTCCTCACCTTGCCACAGTTGATATGTTCCACAGCAGTTTCACGGAAGAAGAAATATATCTTGTCTTGCTTCTCAAAAGAACTCACAAAATTGGGCTCTGGAAACAGAGATAATGCTTATCATTCTCTACCTGCTCATTCACAACATTCACTGTCAAAGTCACACCAGAATATATCTGTACTCCAGCGCTGGCACTATCTTATCCATCCATCTACATGATACTTTAATTCCTTGTGAGATAAAACCCCAATAAAATGATTAAATACGAAATATTTTTTTTCCATATTTATCACCATATTTATTTCCAACCAGGCTGTTATGCTGCTATGAAATGTAAGTAAATTACCTCAACAGATTTGATAATTAAATTATTAATTTTTATCTGATGTAGAGATGCGATAATGGTGATCGCAGGGTAACTGCACACAACCTACCATTGAGCCACTTGGAGTCATACTGCTCTGTTCGGATCATCTTGTTGGTCTCCAGGATTAAGGGGTCACGTGATGAAAAGTCAGATACTGTCGCAGAGTACAGCTTCCCACCTGGAATAAAAATGGAAGATTGACTATTTCATGTTACAATCCTCTTTGAATTGAATTATCATGAAAAAAATGTAAAATGATAACATCAATATTTTTTAACTGCCAAATGACATGATAAACATTACCAGAAGCAGCTTTCTCCATAAATAGCATCTGTTTATGGGCTGACAGGTTCAGAAGGAAATGTTACTGTCAGCAGCAAATTGTAGTCAACATATATATTTGGTGGTTTTATTGATTGAAAGATTTTTTTGCTGAAGTTGCATTTCTTTTCAAATTATCCAACACTGCAATAGCGGCAAGCAGACGTCCAAATCTCGACTGGCACTGGCCCATTTTCTCCAAGTATGACCCCTGGGAGAGATGCAGCGACAGGACAGAGTTAAATGCTTCCTCACAAAGACTTTATCACTGGCGTTTAATTATTTTCTATGTCTCGGGAGACACAAGCTAGTTAAGTTCAGGAAGTCACCAAACCTGATCTGTCATAAACTCCCACTTCGACACCAATGTGAAGCAGACTAGAAATACATTTAACAAGGGGACAAGAAAGTAGTTCCTCGCTTGGCCACCTTGTGGCAGCACTACTGACATCTTAATAGCTGCCATATTGGGTGGCATGTTTTTTCTATGTCAGTTCCAAATACTGTCATGGTCTGGAAAAACATAGATGGTGATTTATGATTTATTTGTGGTGAATGTTGATAGCTGTGGTTGATAGCGACATGGGTGTTGGCTGTCTGTGGTTACTGAACTCTTATTCTGGTGTTTTATCTCTTTACCATGTTTATCTTATCCTCTTTGACACCACTGAAAGTGTCCTTGAGCATTTATAGATGCAATGTTATCCCATGCTTCGTAATAAATCACATCTAGAACCTTTCTTGACTGACTTCAAATCCTCACTCAAATCTCTATAAAACTAACACATATATTCAGCTGGCCTATGCAGTCTGAACTATTCACAAACGGCCCCCTTGTGTACATAATAAATCTAACTTGTAATCTACAGGGGGAGATAAACTACTTTTCTGCAACCTGTCAGAACATAATCAAGATTTCTGTTGACAGGCACATAATTCATATCTGGCTCCAATCACCAGTTTCCCCTTATCCCCGAAAAGGTAAGGTAGGGGCAAGATACACTCCCCCATCCCACCAACCCTCAATGATAGGTCACATGCGTGGCCAGTGCAGACAGAAGCTATTATTTCAACTATCCACGCAGAGGTTCCCTCCAAGCTCCATACACTGTACCAGAGGGAATCGGATGTATGCGATTCCTGACACATCATTAGCAGGATTCCTGGAACTCTACTGCTGTGCCTTTGTGTGAAAGCAGTTTATTATTTCTGAGTGTCGCCAATGGCAAGGCAAATTGATCACTTTCACTGTCTTATAAATTCTGTGATTCACATCTTAACATTCAAGCTGAGGGCTTTCAAATTTTCATCATTCAAAGATTTTCTTGAAATAATTATGGACTAAATTAGAATTTTGTAAAGAGACTCAATATTATATTTCAACTATCTCCAAATGTTGGTAATTTAGCGGACCAAAATTGCCTCATGCTGATGAGGGTCACTTCAAGTGTGTCCCATTTATAATGATGCTCCTGGGACTGACCCTGTAGTGTTTAATGAGTGGTCAGTTGCCCTCAAAGGTAATCTCCCGGCCAAACTGGTCTGACCACACCAGGATATTACCAACCACAGGTTTGGCCATCAATCATGGTACACGGATTTATGTGGACCAAATTGTCACAAATTGAATAATCAATCAAAATATGCATCATAAATATTCCTCAGATTTTAGAGAAATATTACACTAATGTAAAATCTATGCTATGCTAAATCTACTTGCCTGCATAAATGGCTGTGCTGTTTTGTTCAGGATCATAAGGGCACTGAGCTACACCATCTCGCTCCTCAATCCTTTCATATCCACTGAGCTGTATGGCAATAACAAGCATATGTTAGATACATGACTCAGACGATAACCGACCATTTTCATGCTGTTATTATGATTGAATAATCTCAATATATTACTCTGGATACTCATTTGAAAGATAATTATAAAGCCATAATGTAGCTCAATTGGGTATCTTGAAATTGTTAAAAAATGAATATCTTCATGAAGACACTTACCCCATTCTGCTTGTACGTTCGACATTTGGGACGGAAAGCATTTGTTCCACAGGTGTATAACCTGTCATTATCTTTCTTCACTATGACACGGATGTAATTCTGACATTGTTCCTGAAATATAAATCATTCGTTGTAAATATATTCAGAGCAACTGAAGAAAATTTTAAGTGACATTCAACATGTAAAATTCCCCCAAATATCCGAAAGTTTCATTTTGTGTTTTGGGTGACTTAATAATATTTCATAATTCACATTAATTAAATGTTTAAGCGTTAAACACAAGCCACTTATGGCAATGCCAACTGTACACGGACCTCTCGTTTCTGGACTTGGTAAACAAACACCTTCCATGTACTGTGTGTTTTTGTCTATGTACAGCCCATGTTTGTTTTTGTCTATATACGTGAAAAACAAACAAACCGGGCAGCAAATTGACAAGCCTGTATTTGAACTTTTCCACTACGTGTTTGACACAACTCTAATTTGATGCAACGTAAATACCGTGTGACCTCATTTATACAAGCATATATCTCTCATACTGACATGTTTTATGCTTAATCTCAAGACTCCCTTTAAGTAAATTCTTAATTTGAGCAAATCTGCTACGCTGTGATTACATTTTACAACATCAAACTACACTTCATGTTCATCTTGATACTCGTATCATCTCCTTCATAGCAAGAAAACTTCAACAAGATAAAGACACTTGACGTATCTTTTTGATGAGGGACAAGAGGTAAAACTTAGATTTTTATCATAGTTAATATTTCAGTATGATGTGTGTGTAATAGGCAATCACGTCACAGATTGAAAGGTCACAGAGCTTATCCTGAGTTAAGAAGGACAAGGGCTACTCTCTATTTTCAAAGTCGAAAACGTGCCGGAGACCACGCAGCCCCAGTATATAGAGGACGAACACAACAGGTAGCTGTGAATTGTGGCGTAGATTGTGTCAAGAGGAGATAGAGGGAGAACCGTGTACAGGTGTGGCGGCCAGGTAGATACCTCGTTATCTCACCTGGTCTCTGTGTCAACACTGACGTGACTTAACTCATCAACAAGCAACATGGCAAATCTATTGCCAATGAAATCACCTAATTCCTTTACCACATGTACTCTTGCAATCGGTGTCAAACTATCGCCAACATTAGATAATATATTTCTGAAACTGTCAACTGATAATTACTAAGTTAAACAACAGAGTACTAATGATTTTGGGTAATTTCACATTTCAATCATAAAACTTATCTTGATACCATTTCTTAAACCATTGTATTCATTCTGTATGATGAAATTCATGCAAAGTTAGGATTGAAAAATCTTTTCACTGCAACAAGAGCATGTGATAATAGAGTTTCTTCTGCCTGACTTGCTTGTTTACGATGGCACAGGATATGTATTAGATACTGTCTGTTTGACAACTAGTTTATGAGTAACACATATTTCTTAACCAATCTTTTCATTGAGATCTAAATTGCTTTACACATCAACAACCCTAAAGAATATTGTACTCCTTTCAATATCCATACTTTCAAGAGAAATTTCATCAAGCTTTTTAACATTAAAATTCATGGTCCTTGTTAGAATTTGAAAGGAATAAAGAAGCATCTAAAATATTGTGAAAATACTTTTGCTGATCTCATTCCTAGCACATTATACACTACAATGAGTTTCTGTGGGAAATGTGCTTTAGTGTGGGACACAGAAGACAGCATGACCCATGGACGCAATGAGTTACCTTCCACCTGTGACCTTGACCTCACTATTGTGTGGCAAACAATTCTTAATGCACAATAATAAGTATTTGCTCTACAAGATCGCATCCACTCATACAAGCATGCACAGCTCAGTCTCATTTCCGTATATCTAATTGAATTGTTTACTTTATCAATTGCGGTTTCCCAAGTCTTCCTGTCTAAGCAACCATCTTTATTATCACCAATTGGTGACAAGTGAAGCAAATTTAGTTTTGTCAGCTTCTGTATCCCAAGACATCCCATACATTGATGCAGCCATACACAAGCCCACTGTCACATAGATTTCCTCCCTGATCAGAATCTTGTACAGTGGAGCAGGAGCAAGTCAAACACTGGTTCAACTTGAAACAGATCCAGCTTCCAGCTAATTCAGACTGCATCATTTGTGAGCCTTCATCGGGAGTGTGAAGGGTTCGGAAATTGATTTACCGCCCAGTCGGGTTAGGTCTGTCTCATCTTCAGGTATCTTGATGACTTGGCCAAATACAGAACCTTGGATTACTTTTTTATATTTTCCATAGTCCTTCCTTTCGTTAGAGAACCAGGTTTATCAACATCCTGACTGACTTGAGTTACTTGCACATGTGTTACTCTGCCAACTGTAGTCTGAGTGTGAGTGAGTGAGTGAGTGAGTGAGTGAGTGAGTGAGTGAGTGAGTGAGTGAGTGAGTGAGTGAGTGAGTGAGTGAGTGAGTGAGTGAGTGAGAGTGATATTTAATGCAGCTTTTAGCATTTTTGTAGCAATTCCCGAGGAACTAACCCTAGAACAAAAACAAACCTTTCAACCACTGGGCCAACCACAAGGTTAACCCCCCCAAATCTTAGTACCCATGAACCAAGGAAACTAAATGGTTGAAATGGAAAATGAATGTTCACTGTACTTTCTCCAAATGCCAGCTATGTCGGTGATGGAGTGCATTTTCTTTTCCTACATAATGGATCTATCAAAGAGGGCAGTGAAGGTCTTCAGTTACGATGCCTCAAAAACAGAATTGATGGTACTTACTGGGGTCTTATGTTTCTTGGAACATAATTCAATGTCCGATGCCTGAGGTTCCCAATCTATTCTCTGAAATCATGAAACAAATAATTTAGAATAGATATACATGCCTTTCAAGTCTGGAAAAACATCTATGACATCATGAGTGTAGAAATATAATTACATAAGGAGCATCATCACCATGCTGTTTGCTCATGGTCATATTTGAAAAAATTTCAAAGCTTGACAGTAAGAAATATTCACATCACTTAGGGCGTAGAGAAAAATGCACAAAAAACTTACCGAGAATTCCTTTAGGTCAGCTAGACTGACATTATGTATAGCGTTTCTGAAACACAAAAGGTCATCGTTTATGTTGGGTCACACTGATCTTGTAAAACAAATACAGAGACGTAAAAACACTTTCCTGCATCTCTGATGCAGCATTTAATTACACATAACAGTGGGAAACACCAAATCTCAGAGATCTTACACCTAAAAATATTATGTAACAGTATACAGAAGCAGGTTATTTCTGCATCTCATCTTATGAACATGATGAGAGTGAAGCTAATAATTATGTTTAAAATTATTTACAAGATGTCCTTATAAAATTAAGCACATATTTTAATTAATTTTGAAACACATGCAAGTTACTTCTGTACCTTATCTTATCATCATGATGGCAGTAAAACTAATAATCAAGTTTCAAAATTAATTAAGATGTGCTCAATTTCATATCACTTGTGTTTCATATTCAGGTATTTTACATATATACTTACTTTGCTCCCAGCAACATGGAAGAAGCATCGGCCATCAGGAGTCTAAAGTGGTCAATTTCATCAATTCGTCCAGCAAATTTCTCCAGGCTTGCATCATTTTCTACAAATAATAAAAAAATAATGTAAACAAATGAGTCCTTAAATATAATACAAAACCACCAATTCATGTTTACATAGGTTTCAAAGCCTGATTTTTCTATTGTCGGGACAACGAGACATCTAAGTGTTTTGCTAATACATCCACTAGCATGTAATTGAAAGTAAACATAAGTTAATGTTTTCAACTAGTACTATTTTTTCCCCATTGTGTACTACATGTCAGCAGACTAGTTAGATGTGTTACTACATGGCTCTCTATGCATACATTCTCTACGTTGCTGAAATGTTTTTTTTCCTGATATAAAGATAAAAGGGAAATTTGTGTCTCTCTCAGAAGTTGATTTGAAACTGGTTTGGTTTGTTTGTAAGATCTCCTGGTTGATGTAACATAATCAGCGTAGGGCACAACCTTTGGGAAAAACATCACGCATTTAAAGACTGAATATTCATGATAAGCACTGTTTTATAACCTTTGAAACATAAACCCAGTATGGTGCAAAAGATAATGTCTTAACTCTGACACACTTTTTTAAAATAAAAAATAATGTATTCTAGTTGACCACATGTGGGTATTTGTTTAAAAGAACAAACAGTCGTGATTCATTTGAATTACCATATAATGAGCGAAATTTACAAAATTTAGTTGTTAGACAGAGATATGTGTGAATTATCAGTCAAAAGGTTAATGCTAGACCCCCTGGGCAGAGAACAGTATATCATGTGTTGTGTGTTCACAGCTTCCATCAGGAGATCACTCTCTCACATGACCAAGCTGTGTACAGGACATCAACCCACAGTTAAACATTCCTCAATTGTTCTACCGACAAAAACTAAACATGATTTTATACATTATAAATAAATGCACCCGACTACCACACAAAGCAGTGTGGAATACAAACATATGTCTCAATACACATTCTCGGCATTATCAGTGTGCAGGTTAAGACAGGGACACCCCTCAGATGTGTAATTACAGAAATAAAGATAGCAATCTGGGCTGAAGAAAAGACCATTGTTGGGCAAGCAGACACGACAATGCCTGAAGATGGTCCTCATGGCAGACAGAGATGGCTATTGTCAAAACAAGTTCCTTGACGGCCCACCTCAAGTTTATGCACTTGGAGTTTTCTTAATGATAGTCGTGTTTACACTTCATCTGGAGCTTGACCTTGATTATGAACCATGATCAAGATACTGCGCACCAGAATTTGTAATTTTCAAGAAGATTCAACACGCAGATGTCTAATATGAACAAATACTAAGTCATTTTCGGTTTGTTTATATAATAAGGTTAACAAAGATAAATTTATACTGTCAAAATTTTATCAACTGATCTGAGAAATATGGTTCATAGGAGCCGCTTGCTTGAGATCATGAGATCAGAAATCAATGACCATGGCAGGCTTATCTTTGTGTTGACAGGGACAATGGGGGACCTGATCACCTAGAGTGACCCTCTAGCCAATGGAGGACATGGAGGACGTGACTGGGCGGCTGGTGGGACAGACCTGGGACCAGGCAAGGGAGAGAGGCTATCACAGCCTCCTTGATCTATGTCCCCTCGTATCCCTTGACAACCTGTCCTTGTTAGTTGTCATCCCTGTAATCCACTCATTGCTCAAGTCAAGTCTGGATATTGCTTCAGATAGGCAAAGGATCGACATCAAATCAAATCCAACCATTTCTTACTCAGGGTTGGACTTTTGAGACTTACTGCTTAGAAACAAAATTAGCCTGTTCTTTCAAAATGGATCAGCGCCTGTACTTTGATTTATTCCTTTATTAGCCACACTATCGTCTGTGGTGGTTAGTCTCAAGTTCAGACTTCTCAAATGTCACTTTCAAGTGAAAGTGTACCTCATTTAATCCCATTTCCTCCTGGTTCCATGTTTTTACCTAATCCCCAATCGTTCCGCTTTCAAGGAAGATAAATCTATTGTTTTGCTGCCTCCTGGTTTAGTTTCAGCATGTTGAAAGTCCATTACTTTATCACCTGATGGTAACTGAATTCTAACTACCATTTCAACCTGCAGAATCTGAGAAAAATATGTGAGCAGGTACAAGCCTTAAATGCCACGATGCACTAATGCGAGAATATTGTCTCGTTTATTTGACATTATTTAAGCATTGCAACTACCACAACAAAAGATTCTGTGCTGCCTGATTGGTATAATGAGCACCTATAAATACTCAGACACGCTAATGTATATTGGTCATGCTACCCCAACGTTTTGAACATGTGATATTGATGGCGTGTCATAGTGTTATACCATGTTAAAACCACAGCGCCATCTACTGAGGTTTGCACCACCTGGCAGGAAGTGGCGGAGATGGCACACTCCACAAATATGTCCCAGAAACCCTTGAGCCCCTGAATACATTGCTTTCAACTTCCCCAATATTGATATGCACATACTGCAAACAAAACGCGCTTCATTAGCTGGCAAGTAAGAACACAATATGGCTTTAAGTGCTGGCAAAACAAATCTTTAGCCAAACACATCATCTCTTCAAAGCTTTTTGTCTTTAATGTTTTTTTACCCATCACTTAAATCACCTAAGTTCATACGAAATAATCAATTCATGTATGATACCACAAATCATTAAAAAATTCATTTTATGAAAGCATCAATGATAAACCTTCTTTAAACATATCACAGAACCCATTTCAAAGATTTTAAACACAACCTGCTAAGATGGCTGAGTTCGGGGAGACCTATTAAGATAGCTCTATCTGCATGTTGCATGTTTGTGGGGTCTAAGAACAGCATCAAGTGAATCTGTCTCCACTCTACGCCCCAGGCTGAGATCTGCCTGTTCCAGGTTTTCCAAGGCCAGGCCTACCGTACCTATCAGTTCATGTTTCACCATTGTGTAACAGAGACAACAGCTCGGACAATAGTATAGCTGAAAATAGCAGCATTTTCTTAGAAGGGAAGCCAGCTGTTGTGATGCCTCTTCTTTGTTAGGGTGCAAATATCTAGTGAGTAGAGCAAAGACCAGACCTGTTTCAGGGACCTTTATAGTGTAATCAATGTTTAAAGTCTCCCTCAATACTATTGAGCTACTTTTGTTTTAATGATTCAGCATCACTTCAAGGGAATGAACAATGATGAATAATTATCCTGTGAACAATAAATTACCACGCATTTCCTAACACAGAGACAATAAAGTTACAGATATTGATCTTAGATAAAATGAAAACAAGACCTCATTTTAATAAACATGAATATATTAATTAGTTATATTATTGTTAGATATGTAACTCATTTTTGCTTGACTGACATTTACCATGAATCATTTTTCCTCATTGGGCACCATCTTCCTTGCCTGTTTCTCCGTCCTTCCATCTGCCTATCTACCCATGCTGTCCAGCACGTGCAAGGATGAGATACATGGCAACCCACAGTTTATAAACAAGCTCGACCTCTATGGCTCTAACACACTGAACTAACTGAGAGCGTACTCTCCACATCACACAACACATGTTCTTCAAGATCCCATCCCAACCAGGAATATGATACCCGACCTGGGAAAGTAAGATTACTGCTGTTGCACTTCCAACAATGTAACACTGTCTCGCACTCCGTAAAATGCTAAATTGCGTAAAATTAAAACCATGATAGAACAGTAAATGGGTTTGGAAGCCATTAAAGAAACAGGCAAATTTCCCTAACTGATAACCTCTCAAGACGATGTGCGTAAGCTGAAGCACGCGACTGCACGTGCGCCAGGTTTTGGTAGCCTCTGGAGGCTTCATGTAGTGACGAAGATAAGAATTACACTATGGGCTCTACTGTGGCACGTCAGCTGGCCCTGACCGATTCATGTTAAATGTTACACTTACTGAATTACTGTGTTTATACTACAGAGGAGAATCATGAGTACGACTCGTAGCACTTGAGACTCTGCCAGAATGCCTCCAAATGCCAACACGTGCTCACCATACCCTATGGCCTACAAATCTTTATTGTCTTTGGATCAAATATACCCAATAGTAATTTTTCTCAGCAAGTGCTTGCCAAGATCTATTATATATCAATTTGGCTGCTTATTAAGTTTCTAACAACCTTGTACAACATTATCCCGACTCCCACGATACCAGACTATTGCTGGACTAATATCCACAGTCATTACATTCTCAACAAGCTCATGAATACCAGCTAATTTCCAGTGTCTGCTTGATGGCTAATCTGAGACTCCCATGACTGCATCTGTTAATGCTGTTCCTGATCAAGTATCTGGCTTATGTTTTCTGGAAATTATCTAGGAGTTGGTGGACTCTGTGAAGCAAGACCAACTTCATCCACACTTCGTGAACATATACAGTAGTGTCACATGTCAACTATCTCCACCACTGCATCCTCTCATAGGAAAACCTCCGACTTCAGCTCTCTAGAAAATAAGCACTTATTTCCTTTTGAAATCTGTTTATCTATCAACATGTTCATGAATATAATGATGGCAATAGTTATTTTTTTACAGTTTATTGTAGTTTATCTAAGCAATGACAATAAAATGATAAAAATATATCTGACAAATTGTGCTAGCTTCCTGATCTCACTATAACTACATTTTAATATTGCTATGACTTTAGACTCAAGCCTTAATGTGATCACAAATTCACACCTTTTGAAGATTGGAACTTGAATAAAAGATGTGAATTCATAATCCAATTTTATAATTTATTTCATAATAATAGTGACTTAATCATAGATATTTTCTGATTTGAATTTCCAGTATCCCACGAATCCCAGAAGTAACACTGTTGCTGGAGATATCATAGCGAAGGAGATGTGACATGAAATTGACAATTTGTCATAATCATCGCCTGGGGTGATCCGGGTAGTATGTGACTCACCTGTGTGACTCACTCCATTAACAATCACCCAGTTTATCAAACTTGCCTCAAGCAGAAGAACGAGCAAAACATATGCCTGATTTGTTGTCATTAATGTTCAACTCCTTCTGTCTCATTGACTCTCTTATGTTCCATGCCTT